AGGAGGGAGAACCGAGGAATGAAGGAGTGAGAAGGAGACAAAAGAAAGAGAGACGAGCAGAGAAAGAAGGAAGAAGAGAAGGAAGAGAACAAGGAGGCAAAGATACAAAAGATGGAAGACGAGCATCAGGCAAAGTCAAGTTCAGCAGAAGGAAGCAGCAACTCAAGAAGAATCCAGAAAATAAGAAAGAAATTAAGAAAACACCAAAAAAGTCAAAAAAGGTATCTGGAACCACGCCAAGGAAAGTCGCCACGAAACCGAAGCAAGCTAAGGATAAAAAGGAGAAAGATAAGAAAAAGAAAAATAAAGATAAGAAAAAGAAAGGAAGTGGAGAGGAAACATATGTCCTGGGAGAAGTTACTACGAAGTTTGGTAAGTATTCTATTAATCTCAGCTCTCTCTCTCTCTCTCTCTCTCTCTCTCTCTCTCTCTCTCTCTCTCTCTCTCTCTCTCTCTCTCATTTTTATCTCCTCCTTCCTTTCTGCTTTCGTTATTTTGATATTAATATTACTTGCATTGGTTTAGCTCTCTCTATATCAATAAAATTCTAATTGCTATGATCATACCATAATAACGTGAATTTGTGAAGATTAGAAATGCATGATGTAAAATAATACAGTTGATTGATATGATAATAGTCACGTTTCCCCTTTTATGGCAGAGTTGATAGTAAATTACTTAATTTAGTAATAGTCACGTTTCCCGTTTTCTTTCAGACTCAATATAAAAATTACTTTACTTGAGAATAAACACGTTTCCTCTCTTTTTGCAAAATCGAAATCAAAATGACTTAATATAATATGTCACATTTCCCCTATTTTTCTTGCAGCTTCAAAATCAAAATAAGTAAATATGATAATAATCACGTTTCCCCTTTTTGCAGCCTCGAAATCAGAATTACTAAATACTATAATAGTTACGTTTCCCCCTTTCTTAGCAACCTCGAACTCAAAATTACTAAATAATGATAATCACATTTCCCTTTTTCAGCGTCGAACTCAAAATAACTAAATGATAATACTCACGTTTCCCCTTTATTTTTGCAGCCTCGAAATCAGAATTACTAAATACTATAATAGTCACGTTTCCCCCTTTCTTAGCAACCTCGAACTCAAAATTACTAAATAATGATAATCACATTTCCTCTTTTGCAGCCTCGAACTCAAAATTACTAAATAATGATAATCACATTTCCTTTTTTTCCGCGTCGAACTCAAAATAACTAAATGATAATACTCACGTTTCCCCCTTTTTCCTGCAGCCTCGAAGTCAAAAGGAAAGTGTATAGCAACGGACGCCATTCTGGGAAAAGATTCGGTGGTGGTGTACACGACCAATCAGAAGAAGAGAAGCAAGTGTAAGATAACGATTAGGGTATGTGATAAACAGCGATATTTTTTTCTATCTCCGTCTGTCTGTCTTTGTGTCTGTGGGTGTCTGTTTGTCATTTTTTCCCCTAATTAGTCTATCTCTGGCTTTGTTTTTGTCTGTTTCTTGACTTTATGTGTCTGTTTGTCCCTTTGGCTATGTCCGCCTATCTCATTTGTCTTTGTCTCTGTCTGTCCCTTTTTCTCTATCTACCTGTCTCTTTGTCTTTGTCTGTGTGTCTGTGTTTCTCTGTCTATCTCTCTATTTCTGTCCCTCTCTTTATCTCCATCTGCTTGTGTCTGTCTGTCGCTTTTTCTCATCTCTCTCTTATCATTATTATTGTTGTTGCTGATACTTTTATTATTAATATCGTTTTTATTACCATTTTATGTACATGAGTTCACATACACATATACCTACTCGCATGTATATTATCATAATTCAAAATACACGAACACACGAAACCATAATTGAACTAATTTTACAAACCTAACCATTACCATACGTACGCTTTGCTTTCCCTCGAACAACCACAATGACAACAATAACCACAGCAATAACACGACACAACCACAACAAGAACGACAACACCAACAACGACGCACCACAACTACCACACAGCCACAACAACACCACAACACAACAACCACACTACAAACCACAACACCACTACCACAACAACGACCACAACAACCAGCACAACACAACAACGACACAACAACAACCAACAAGACACAACAAACACACACAACACCACAACAACAAGAAACCACAACCAAAACCACACTACAACAACAACGCACAACAACCACAACGACACAACACAACGACAACAACAAACCAACACTACAACACCACAACAACAAACACACAACAACAACGACCACAACAACAAAGAACGACACCACAAAACACCACACTACCACAACAGCAACAAACCACAACACAAAACAACAAACACCTACACAACACACAAAGACACAACACAACACACAACGAACAACAACAGACCACACAACCACACAACAACAGCCAACAACAACCAGCAACAAACGACCAAACAAACCAACAACCACACCAACACAACAAACAACAAACACAAGCACAACAACAACAACAGACAAACACAACA